CTTCATGCCTTCCTTCCTTCCCTCCCTCCGTCCCTCCTTCCTTCCTCCCTCCTTCCCTTCATGCCTTACTTCCTTACCTCCTTCCTTCCCTCCCTCCCTCCCTCCCTCCTTCCTTCTTCTCCCCTCTTTCCTTTCATCCCGTCCTTTATTCCTCCCTCCCTTAATTCCCTCATGTCCGCTTCTCTATATATGACTTTGGGTGGCTTCGGGCCAATGACCAGGAGGCTGGGAGTTCTAGTCCTGCCTTAGATATCAAAGTCAGGGGGTGACTTTGGGCCAGTCCTTCTCCCTCAGTCCTTGCAGGATGGTTCTTGTTGTGGGGGGAAACAGGAGGCGGGAGGGTTACGGGAGACATTGGCCACCTCGGGTTCCTCGTAAAGCTAATAAAAACCGGAATATAAATAGTTAGAAATCACCTTAAAAGAGCGAGATGTGGATTTCCTTGGCGTTCCTTACCTCGGCCCTCCTCCTTCTCGCCCGCAGTACATGGGTTGTGTGGAAGTGCTGCAGTCCATGCGCGCCCTGGATTTCAGCACCAGGACACAAGTCACCAGGTGAGCAGGCTCACAATACGGCGGGACCCCCTTCCTGGGGGTGGGGTGAAAGAGGGAGCCCCCCCCCGCATTATATAAAGGTGCTTCTTCTTCTCCTGTCATCTTTGAATTCCCTGCGCAGAGGGATTGCATCGCGTCGTTCTGCGCCAGAGATATTTACAAAATAAATCTAAAAAAAAACAACAACAATAAAACATTGCTGGGTTTCATAAGGACTAGCACCCTCCAGCCAAGGGTTTGGTGGCCTGCAGAGCAGATGGAAGGGGGCTGGAAGCAGACCGGCTCCCCTGAAGGGAGGGGACATTAAATATAATGGGTCTCCAGACAGGGGCCTTTGGTGAAAAGCCTGCTGGGAGTTGGAGTCCACCCCTCTTAAAGGATGCTGGCTGGGGGCTTCTGGGAGTTGAAGTCCACCCCTCTTAAAGGATGCTGGCTGGGGGGGTTCTGGGAGTTGAAGTCCATCCCTCTTAAAGGATTCTGACTGGGGGATTCTGGGAGTTAAAGTCCATCCCTCTTAAAGGATGCCGGCTGGGGGATGCTGGGAGTTGAAGTCCACCCCTCTTAAACTTGCCAGGTTTGGAAAGCACACTTTTAGGTCTGTTGTAAGAGAAACTTGACTTTGATGCTACCAAGTAGAAGGAAGGCTGGAAAAAGTTTGCTTTTTAGCCTTTCTCCTGGGCAGGGAAGAGTTAAAAGGGGATATAGGTGTGTGTTTGTGTGTGTGTGTTTGTGTGTGTTTGTCCCTCTGCAGTCCTGTCCATTAATGGGCGGAGAGGGGTGGGTGTCTGCGGAGAAGCGGCTGGAGAGGGCAGGAAAAGCTCCGGTCCTCCTTGACTGCATCTCCCCCCTCCCCAATTAATCCACCAACGAGAGGAAGCATTTATCCAGCATCATCAAATATTAAATCTCTCTCTCTCTCTCTTTCTTTCTCTCTTTCTCTCTCTCTCTTTCCCTCTCCCCATGGAGGGGGGGCATATGGGTTTCTCTCGCTGTGTGTTTAGAAATAGTGATCCCCCCCTCAAAATAGTGGGGTTCCCCCCACCCCCCAAAAAATATTATTCTGATTTCATACCGAAGATCAGGAGAGTTCATTGCCTCTTTCCCTCCCCCTCCCCGAGGCTGTTTCTCCACTGTGGCCACTTGAAGAAGGGTGAACAATAACTCCCAGAATTCCCTTCCGGGGGTGGGGGGGGGCTGGGGAATTCTGGGAGTTGAAGTCCCCACAGCTCTAGACCTTGGGTGTGTTTGTGTGTCTCTCTGTGATTGCTGATGGCATTGTGTATTTTAAATGCTCTAACGTCTTCTTCTTCCTCTTCCTCCTCTTCTTCCTCCTCCATCTCTTCCTCCTCTCCTTCCTCCTTCCTCTTCCTCCTCTTCCTCCTCTTCTTCCTCTCCTCCTCTTCTTCCTCTCCTCCTCTTCTTCCTCCTCCTCTTCTTCTTCCTCCTCCATCTCTTCCTCCTCTCC